GGTTTGCCGTCTGTCGTTGTAGGCTGGACGATCCTCTCTTTCTCGCGTTACAGGGGGTCTCGCGTAATTGTTACGCGATAAATTATTCGGATAACGCTCTCGAGAATAATTTCCATTGCGCGGAATAGTATCAGTTTGCGCCTGGCGTGTATATTCATTACGTGGGGGGTCCGGTTCGCGACGGTCGCGCGGCTTATTTCGATCTCTGTCCAGCTCCTCTCTCTTTGCAAGTTCCTTTGCCCTTGCAAATGCCTCAAACGGTACGGAGAAAAGGCGTCTATCCATCTGCAGTCTGTACTGAAGAGGTAGACCGTCACAGAATGATCGTGCCGTGAGTTCGTCGATTTCGAGAGCAATTTCGTCGTTCACATTTCCCGTTGTACGGCGCTTGGCATCTAGGATCGCGGATCTGAGTTCCTTAACACGACTAATGTAATCTAACATATGCTCGTGTGGTTTCAAGTACACCGTACTAAGTTCTCCTTTATATTGATCGATTGTTTTCGCGGAGCCAAAAGCGTTATTGAGTAGGTCTATTAATTGTACGACACTTTCGCAAGGTTCGTCCTCGACGGCGTAATAGGCGCGTCCACGAAGTTTAGTTTTTAGCAGAGCAGTGAGGTTCCGCTCCGAGGAAGGAGGAATGATTTCCCGAGCGCGACGACATGCTCGCGTGAATTGCCCTAGTGGTACGTTATATCCGTCGAAAAAAGGTACAGATTCCGTTGCTTCGCGAAATGAGACCTTGGGGAGTTGAGGCGACTCCATATGTGGGCCGGGTTGCCCGTTTGAATCGTCGAGGGACAATAAGGGTTGTCCAGAGAGCCGTAGAGACGGACTGGTCTCTCTGCGGAGACGAGCTACTTCCCGGCGCAATTCCTCCATTTCAGCGAGGATGCTATCTTTTAACGCCGTCATTTCTCGAGGAGCGGCGTCCTCCGACGTTTTTTGCATTATTTCTCTAAGGGTTTCCAACTCGCGCTCTCTCTTATCCTGCTTTTTACGTTGGTCGGTTAGGTAGGCGGCTTCGTCTTTCAAACTATTTTCTTTAGACCTTAACGCGGCTTCCCTAGTCTTTAGTCTAGTCTGAGTTTCGGCTAACTCGGTTTCTCGTTGTTTTAGTTTCAACTGAATTTCAGCTAACTCTGCTTCGGAAAACTCTTTCCTCGTTCCCTCCTTTTCTACCGAATCTTCCCTTTCTCCTTGTTTCCGGCGCGTGTCAACCATAGCTCGGAAATTACGTATCCCACCGCTGTCACCAATTTTGTTACGTCCCGTTCGCAGTCGCGGCGTGTTATTCGCGAGTGTATGATTCGCGTTGCACGTACTCGAACTATTGCGCGAGACAACGTCGTATTACGGAAATTTTTCCGGGGATACCCACGACGAAGGGTTTTCCGACAAAGGTTGCACGATGCGGAGGAAAGGGAAAGAATGTGTTACCCTTAAAGTAGCAGTTACGGCGTGGAGCCTATCTGTAATTCTACAGTTATGATCGTGGTTCCGTCTTCTATCCTCGCCGGGACGCTATCTGGGTTACGCGAGTAGTCTTCGTATACAGACTCGCAAAGTTCGCATAGGTCACCCGCCCGTGAGAGGGTGAGGCGGTTGCTGCAAGTTCCGCAAACTATCCCAACTAATAATCCACCTATGGTTAGGCTATGTTTCCGGATCCGCGTCCAGAACAATTGAGAAGTTCGAGGTAACGCGGCGAAGCATGAAAGACAAAGAGCGGCTTTAGTTTCAAAATGGATGTACCCGATACCGACTTGACAGTAATACGGAGGCTCGAGAGGTATTAGGAGATTAACTCCTGGAAGAGGGGTTACACCTCTAAAGGGGATTGGGCACATCTATACTTGCCACGTTAGTTGTATTAAAAGATCATGCGTTGTTCGCTCGTAGATGGTTGATGAGACCGGACGTTGTCGAGAGGTCGGTAAATGTCGGTAAAGTGAGTCGATGTGGCGTCGATATAACGTCGGCAACTATCGGTAACGATCGTCGGTAAAGGCCGTCGGTATAAGCCGGTGGTAAATCGTTGGTAAGATCGTCGATAAAAGAACGTACGTCGGTATACTGTTGGTAAATCGAGAGTGTTCTTAATAGTTTATTGTTTAAATGACTACTTTGTTGTACGGATTTACGAAGTTATTTCTTGAGACACGAAGATTTTTAAAAGATTGAATTATTTGCGTTTTTCCGTGTTAGAAGTTCGAGAGTTGTACCGTGTGCAGTGGACGACCCTAGTTTTATAGCCTGACCCTTTTTTTATAGCTTCCGCAGTGACGATGGAAAAGAGGAAAAATGCGTCGGAGATTTTTCTAGAATGTTCTCTTCCACGTGGTAAAACCGTCTCTGAATTTGCTAACACGCGCGATTCCTCAGGTTAACATGAATTTCACTTACCTTTAGTAGCACTTTCTTGATCGTGTCGGCTCGTACTTGGAGGTAGTGCGTGCGGCGAGGGTCGTTCACTGGGATGTTTGGCGGCGGCAGGCGTCGTGGTTGGAACGTTATTGGTATGCACTTCCACTGTAGGAGTTCGTCGCTCTTATTATTTTTAATGTTGAAAATGTCCTCGTATTCAGGATCGGCCTGATACTCCACTCCGAGAAATTGAGAGTATTCCTCGGTCGCTGATTCACGATAGAGTCGGTTTAGTTTTCGTAGTTGATTCTTCCTTCCCGCGCGTCGCGTCTTAGGCATATTGAATTTGATGCATCCTCTGAATGATTACTCAAATAAGGAGGGTTGATATGCGGCGGACCTCACTATCAATTCCTTATTTTGGCAAATGCTGAGAATGTTAATTCTAACTGTGATGAGCGGTGGTCCGCTCCAAAACAGTTTAAATTATTCTGAATTCAAATGCCGTATGACAGATTTAAACGCTGTCGTATTTTATCACGGGAGTGGAAGTTTTGAGGAGTACTGAACACTAGTTTTCACACATGAATACACTGATTTATTCGTATAGTAGTACAGGATTTGAAACTAGAACTTAGAATTTAGACTTAGACTTAGAATTTAGATTTTAGAGTTAGGATATTATACTTAGAGTTAGAATTTTAGAATTAGAGTTAGAATTTGGACTCAGAGTTAGAATTTAGAAGTGCGACTGTACTGTTCGGTGTCGCGCAGAGAACTGACGAAATTCGGGACTGTTCTGAGGTCCTTCGTTTCGGCGGCTCGGGCCTGCGGCGGCCTGGAGAGGGGGAACTCTCCGGAGTAGGGGCTCTCACCGTGGTGGGAGACCCTTAGGCGCTACGAAGCGCCACGCTTAGTTTCTAGGCGGAGTTAAGCGTCATGGCCGGCTTTGGCGCGTTTTTCAAATAATGTTTGATAGTTTTAGGATTTATTTCTTATAGATGGAAAAAAATTTACATACCCGGTGTTAGTAATGAAGCCGGACGTGACACCGGCTCGAAGGACCAAAATTATGTTCGCGAACCGAGAGTACAGAGTTCGGCTACGAACGAAATCAGCTGATATCGCTCGAAGGAGCGAAGGACACAGGAAGCGGAAAGAAGAAAAAGAACACAAACTAGGAAGCTAACGTGAGAGAGAGAGAGAAAGATCGAAGACGATCAGAATCGGGATCTGAGCGGGCCCGAGAGAGAAAGAGAGAGGAACACGAAAATCGTTACAGAAATGGACAGGAAATCGGGAGAAAGAAAGGAACATTCAGAAACGTAATTTTCCTTTTGTTTGTCGTTAGATTACTAATTTATTTAGCACTGAATCCTAATCTTTAATTTTAATATCGAGTAGGAAAATATGACGAAATTTGCAACTGTGGGTTTGTTACACTTTGAATTACGCGTGATAAGCAAAACCGCACAAGTAGATCACGTTTCGTCGATCGCGTATTTCAATTATTTCGATTAACTCTTATCGATGATTATTACGGTCAGATTCGCTTCGATTCTCGAAAAAGACTGACTCGTCGTTCGAACGAGCGCTGACGATTACCTCAATATTGAGAAGGAAGAATACAATAGAAGACCTGTCTTTTGAAACGGTGACACAAACAAGTAATAAACGACGAAAATACAAAACAGGTCATCAGCGAAGAAGATACAATATCGGACATGACTTGATATAAAAATAACGGACATAATATTGACAAAATTATTTGTTCCATCCTGAACATACATATTTAAGTATATAATCAATACAATTGCAAGCATGTATGTCTAATAAAACTTGAAGTAAAGCGTAATACAAATTTATTAAATAAAAGTATCTTATAAGTTTCATATACTCAAATGTATTTTGTAAAATTGACAAAATATATTTTAGATAAAATAAAAAAATATAAAAGACAATTATTTTATTGCATAACACCTGCCGAGATAAGTTGTAGAAATCTCTACTTATAAAATAGAATATTGTTATTTCACATTGTGTGAGATAGCACGAATGGCATATTATATATATATATATATATATATATATACATAATATGCCATCCGTGCAATTTGCTCACACAATGTGAAACAACAATATTGTTCAGGAATAAGCCTAATCCTAAAGTATAGGTCGTTCAATTCTCCGTTTATATTATCGTTCGACATCTCAGTAATTATTCGCGCCAACGCGGGACAACACGTCAAAAACACATGTGATCCACGTGTTACTCGCCTGTCTTTTCCTTTGCTCGACGCGAATCGCCTGCGCAAATCCCCAAAAATTCTCGCTTCGCGCCTTGGCTACGTGTCTCGGATCATTATTGAGCGTCCAGCCACGAGACGAGATAGATCAATACACCTTTTGTTGAAATATCGTCCGCCTCGTTTCTAACACTCTTGTTATAATTTGTGATTTAAATAAAAGTATATTAAAACAAATCCGCGAGTGACCATTAACAAAAACTACCGCCTTGGTGTGCGAACCTTCTATACAAGGTTTTACCAACGAGAAACAAAACATTTTGGTCCTTCGAGCCGGATCGTCGCCAAGGACAATTATTGGCATTCCGAATCACGATCGTCGATATGAACACCTCGACATCTTTCGAAGAGCTTTTGGCTCTGCAAACACAGAAGATGAGTTTCGTATCACGGGCGCTCATCAATTACAAGAAGCTGGGGCAAGCCAAAATGACACCTGCGGTGACACGTCAACGTCTCGTCACCTTGAAGGAAGCCTTTGCCACTTGCCAGGAGCTCGACAGTCGAATCGGGCTTCATGCGGACGATGACGACAAAGCATCGCATACCTACTTCACAAAGAATTCGTTTCTGGAATGTGAGGACTGCTACAACGAGGCTGCCGACTACATGGCTGAGGTATTAGAGAGCTACGAATCCCGCATCCCTCCCGCTACATCATCACAAAACGTAAGTGGCTTGCATGATGTTTTCCGACCCGCGTCGCATCTTCCGAGGATCAACCTACCGACCTTCGACGGGAGCATCGACAAGTGGGAAAGCTTTCGCGATAAATTCCAGTCGATGATTCATAATGATCCTAGTTTGTCAAATGTCGATCGCTTACATTATTTATGCTCATGTGTAAAAGGGGATGCAAGTAACGCGCTTGACCACCTCGCGGTAACCAATAATAATTTCGACGTCGCGTGGAGAATTCTAGTCTCTCGGTACGACAACAAACGTCGTCTTGTTACAACGCATTTACAATCGCTGTTAAATTTGCCGTTACTGACCACAGAAACCGCTCATGACCTTCGTCAGCTTCGCGACCAAACAAACAAAGCAATCCAAGCGCTTAGAAATCTCAACCGTCCTGTCGAACATTGGGATGATTTGCTTGTTTTGCTCGTCGCACAAAAACTCGATAAATACTCGCGTAAAGCTTGGGAACTCAAGCTCGGCGATACGGTGGAATATCCGCGTTATAATGAGCTCGATCAATTTCTTGAGTCTCGAATTCGCGCTCTCGAGGCGATCGTACCACTTTCTAAAGAAAAACCATCCTCTACCTCTAAAGGAAAAATTCTTGTGTCGCATACCGCGTCCACCGTTTCGTTCGCATGTCCGTTGTGCAAGGCCAATCACTTATTATACCAATGTTCGACATTTTTAAAGCAAACACCCTCTCAACGTTTCGATTTTATTAAGCAGCGAAAACGATGTTTAAACTGTTTTAGTAGTAAGCATTCCGTCAAAGATTGTTCGAATTCGCGCGTATGCCGCCAGTGTAATAAACGTCATCACACGTTATTACATTTCGATAACTCGACTCCGCCGGTGCAAACGGAGTCACCGCCAGCAACAAGCGCAAATGTAAACGAAGTCATGTCGCATTTACTATCGAAAACCGTCGCGCCTAATTCTAATATTTTGCTTGCGACTGCCCGGGTGAGAGTCTATTCGCCTGTTGGACGTTTTATAACTGCACGCGCACTTCTGGATCAAGGTTCCGTTTCTACGTTTATTACCGAATCGCTCGCGCAACGTTTACGACTCTCTAAAATAAATCGTTCAATGTTCGTCACCGGCATCAGCGAGATGCAATCCGTTGTCCGTCACGCCGCTCATCTTACAATTACGCCGGCGAATCGCGACGAACCCGCTTATTCAACGACCGCACTCATTCTTCGATCGTTGACAAAATATGTACCGAATCGAATAAGCACGACGGGTACGTGGAACCATGTCGACGGACTCCAATTAGCGGATAGTGACCCCATGAGTACCGACCCGATTGATATGATAATCGGAGCGGATTTATACGGCATGCTCGTACTCGATGGTGTTCGACAAGGTTCCGAAACGGAGCCCACCGCGCAAAATACTACTCTCGGTTGGATTTTGTCCGGGCCAATCGCTTCGTCCCCGACCAATCTTTCGATTTTTGAGACCGCGCATCACGGAGTCGTCCTTGAAGCGTTAGATTTCGACCTTCGTCGTTTCTGGGAGACTGAAGAGGTCCCTCAGACCCAACATCATAGCCCTGACGAGCGCAAGTGTGAAGAGCACTTTCTCGCTACCCATTCCCGCACTCCTCAAGGACGCTATATTGTTAGATTACCGTTTAAAACCGGACCACCACTCTCGTTAGGAGAATCTCGCTTCATTGCCGAATCGAGCCTCTATCGCTTAGAGCGACGTTTCAAACGCAATCCATCTATCGCTTCAGAATACCACGACTTTCTCAAGGAATACGAAAACCTTGGTCATATGATCAAAATTCCACCGACAGAAATTGTCCAACCGGATCAAAGTTATTACATACCGCATCATGCTGTCTTACGTGACAGTAGTGCAACTACTCGACTGCGGGTTGTTTTTAATGCATCCTGCCGTACCACTAACGGAACCTCGTTAAACGATAATATGTTTATCGGACCTAAACTTCAAAAGGATTTGGCCGCTGTCATAATGCAGTGGCGCCAATATCGTTACGTATTTACCGCCGATATCGCCAAAATGTATCGTCAAATTTTAGTTGACTTCCGCGATACTGATTACCAGCGCATTCTATGGCGCTCTTCTCCCAGCGAACCTGTTCGCGACTACCGTCTTCTTACCGTGACGTACGGCACTGCCGCCGCTCCGTATCTCGCTCTTCGAGTGCTAGACCAACTCGCTGAAGATGACGGTGCTCAATTTCCGTTGGCCGTCCCTGTTCTACGTCATCAAACATACGTTGATGATTGCGCGTTCGGAGCCGACGATCATATCCTTGCACGGCAAACACGAGACCAATTAATCGCGCTTCTCGCTAAAGGAGGCTTTCGCCTACGAAAGTGGGCAAGTAATTCTCCAGATCTTTTGTCAGACCTCGATCCTGCCGATCATGGACTAGCCACTCACAAAGTCCTCCAAGACGATGAACACCTTAAAGTGTTAGGAGTTAGTTGGAATCCAAAGCTCGATGCGTTTCAACTTCGCGTATCTCTTCCGTCTTCGCCGGGAAAAACGAAAAGAGCTATTCTCTCGACAATCGCTGGGTTTTTCGATCCGATGGGATGGGCCGCTCCCGTCATCATCGGTGCAAAGATCTTTATGCAACGATTGTGGTCGATCCAATGTCAGTGGGACGACGACATTCCGGGTGAACATTTCGACCACTGGGCAACTTATCATCACCAACTACCGCATCTCGAGACGCTCAGTATTCCGCGTTGGACGACGCACGGATCTCATACTCTGCACAGCGCACTCCATGGCTTTTCCGATGCCTCAACTATGGCTTTCGCAGCCGTTGTTTACCTTCGCGTTGTTAATGTCGACGGCTCAATTAACATCTCTCTTCTCATCGCAAAATCGAAAGTGGCTCCCCTCAAGACGATAAGCGTTCCCCGATTGGAATTGTCGGCGGCGCTCCTTCTCGCTCGGTTAGTTAATTATGTGCGGTCCGCTCTTCAACTTCCGAGTATCGAATGTCACTGTTGGACCGACTCAACCATCACACTCGCTTGGCTAAGTCAGTCTCCATCTCGATGGAAAACTTTCGTTGCCAATCGCGTTTCGATCATTCAGTCCTTGCTGCCTGAAGTTTCTTGGCGTCATGTTCCAACGCAGGACAATCCTGCCGATTGTGCTTCTCGCGGTCTAGCTCCCCATGCTCTCGCAAATTATAATTTATGGTGGTCAGGTCCTTCATGGCTTTGCCAATCTCCAGAATCCTGGCCGACTTGCGAGCTCTCGATACCAGCCGAGACCGCCCTTGAACAGCGTTCTCAACCACCTATTCATTCTTTACATGTAACCCCTAGTTGGGATCTCGCATCACGTTATTCTTCGTGGCCTCGATTGCTCCGAATTACCGCTTATCTTTACCGTTTTCTTTATCGACTCCGATCCTCTAAAAGCGCATCGTCTTCACAAGCGATCCTCCATCCCGAAGAGATCCAGAAAGCCAAACATTACTGGCTCCGAGTTATGCAATCCGAGATGTTTTCCGTTGAAATCTCGACTTTACAACGGCAACTTCCGTTACAAAAAACTAGTTCCTTATCCACACTCAATCCTTATTTAGACGCTGACGGACTTCTTCGCATCAGAGGACGGCTCCGTCATGCTTGCCTTTCAGAAACGACGAAGAATCCGCTCGTATTACGAGCACATCCATTGCTAATTCTTATTATTTAGCATCATCATCTCAGAACGTTACATGCTGGTCCCCAATTAACACTCGCTTCATTACGTAATGAATTTTGGATCCTCCGATCTCGCGCTACCGTTCGTGCTGTTCTGTGCGTACAATGCACTCGTGAGCGCGCTAAAAAACCTGTCGAACTCATGGGCGATCTACCGGAGGCGAGAGTTAACCGTGCCGCTCGCGCATTTATACATACTGGCGTTGATTACGCTGGACCAATCACTGTCCGAACCGCGCCCGGCCGAGGACACAAATCGCAAAAGGCTTACATTGCGCTGTTCATATGTTTAACGACCAAGGCTATGCATTTAGAACTTGTTTCCGATTACAGCTCGCCGACCTTTATTGCAGCGTACCAGCGATTTGTCTCCCGCCGAGGACTACCGCAGTCCATGTACTCAGACAACGGTACAACCTTTCATGGCGCTAATCGAGAATTATCCGAAGCTCACGCGAAAGCAATTCGCGATCCAAGCTTTCGTAATCGTCTCGCTAGCGATGGAACTGCGTGGCAGTTCCTACCCCCGGCCGCACCACATTTCGGCGGACTGTGGGAAGCCGGGGTCAAGAGCGTCAAATACCACATAAAGCGTTGCATCGGCCTCCATACATTAACTTTTGAAGAAATGACCACGTTTCTTTGTCGCATTGAAGCTTGCTTAAACTCTCGTCCGATCGCTCCCGTCTCCGATAATCCTGACGATTATCACGCGTTAACGCCTGGTCATTTCTTGATCGGTACCTCTCTTCTCGCTCCCGCCGAACCAAGCGTGCTTGAATTTAACGAGAATCGATTGTCGCGTTGGCAAATGATTCAACGTCTGACGGAAGAGTTTTGGCGGTCCTGGTCAAGCGATTACTTGCATTCTCTTCAACAACGCCCAAAATGGCGCGTTATCCAGCGACTTGCCAAAGTTGGCCAAATAGTCCTAGTGCGTAATCCCTTGGCTCCGCCCAGCCATTGGGACCTTGGACGAATTGTCGCCTGTCATCCAGGAGAAGATGGCCTGACGCGCGTTGTCACGGTCAAAACCTCCCGTTCTGAATATAAACGACCGATCGTGAAACTATGCTTCTTGCCTGTTGCGATTAATACCGAAGAAGTAAAAGATTCCGTTATGGCGGGCGGAATCTCGTCTTAATATGCGCTAACACCCCGTTCTTTGTTATTGAAGTATCTACGAGATACTGATATTCTTTGTACAGCGTTTATTCCATTATGTCTTTTATTATTGTTAAACCATTTGTACTTTTTCGAATGCCTACATTCGAGGCGGGCGGTATGTTCAGGAATAAGCCTAATCCTAAAGTATAGGTCGTTCAATTCTCCGTTTATATTATCGTTCGACATCTCAGTAATTATTCGCGCCAACGCGGGACAACACGTCAAAAACACATGTGATCCACGTGTTACTCGCCTGTCTTTTCCTTTGCTCGACGCGAATCGCCTGCGCAAATCCCCAAAATTCTCGCTTCGCGCCTTGGCTACGTGTCTCGGATCATTATTGAGCGTCCAGCCACGAGACGAGATAGATCAATACACCTTTTGTTGAAATATCGTCCGCCTCGTTTCTAACACTCTTGTTATAATTTGTGATTTAAATAAAAGTATATTAAAACAAATGCGCGAGTGACCATTAACAAAAACTACCGCCTTGGTGTGCGAACCTTCTATACAAGGTTTTACCAACGAGAAACAAAACAAATATTCTATTTTATAAGTAGAGATTTCTACAACTTATATTATATATAATTATTATTTTATTTTATTTTATTTTATTATTTATTATTTTATTTTATTTTATTCTTTTATTATTTATTATTTTATTTTATTTTATTTTATTATTTTATTATTTATTATTTTATTTTATTTTATTATTTTATTATTATTATTTTATTTTATTTTTTATTTATTTATTATTATTTATTATTTTTTATTATTATTTCTACATATATATATATATACAGGGTGTCCGGTAACTAACGGACCAACGATTACAAGTGGATTTTTGGTCAATTTGGGAACGATTTTTCCTCAGCGAAAATGTCGAAAAAGGTCATCATTTTTTACAACTTTCCAATATTTGTCATTATGTATCTTTATAACTAACAATTTTATTATAGTAAACTCTACCTGAAATTAACTGAAGAATGTAATTATGTTAGACTTTTAACTCCAAAACGTTTAGTTTTTAAAAAACCCATTTTTTTCAATCGCTTATAACTCGAAAATTATTGACTTCTCAACATTTTTGCTAAGGAAAAATCGTCTCCAAATTGGCCAGAGAATCCGCCCTTAATCATTGGTCCGTTAGTTACCGGACACCCTGTATAATATGCTTTCTAAAAATTAAAGTATGTAGGTATAATATGCCAACAAATATATGTATATATATAATATTGGCATATTATACTTACATACTTTAATTTTTAGAAAGCATATTTTCTCTCTCCCAAATCACTCGCATACAATTATGAAGGAGCAATTTGAGAGAAAGAGAGAGAGAGAGAGAGAGAGTGTGTGTGTGTGTGTGTGTGTGTGTGCGCGCGCGCGCGCGCCAGAAGACAAGACAGCATGAGAGAAACGAAGATAATATGACTGTCTGTCCTTGTCTAACTGTACGATTGCAGCTCCCTCTATCGCGACATCGCGCAACTAATTTTTTGCTCTGTTTTATTCCTAAATGTCATTTCGCACATACACATGTGAATGAAATATTCCACAATCGAGATCTTTTTTATTAGACTTCTAAACTTATTTCATCAAGGTCACTAATATTCCTTTATGCAATCTTTTGGAGGAAGCGGTCTTATTTTGTACGTATAAATTGTGAAACTTTTATACAAGCAAATATTGTTATGACGTGACGCGAGAAGCCAAAAAAAATCTCATATTTAAAAATTTTTTGTCTTTTTATCACAAATTCAGACCGCTCCCTCCTTTATTATTGTATTAACTTTAATCGTGGAAAAGCATTTGTTATTCTATTAACGCAATAAAAACTTCTCGATTGTGGCAAAATATAATCGGTTCGATCGATAAAAGTAGACCTCCGGCATCCCCTTAATATGTATCTATTACTGGATACACATACTTAATAATGGGACTTAAATATGTATCTGTCTTTAGTTTTTTTCTAAATAAATAAAGACAAATAAATATTTAAATCTCGTTAAAATCCAAAATAACGTTTTTGTAGAAATTTATCACAAATAATGCCAATTAATTACTTATTTCAAGTAGTTAAAATATTGATATACAGTAATTTAAGTACTTGAACTAAGTGATTAAGTACTCGAAATAAGTGATAAATTGGCGTTACTAGTGATAAATTTTTATAAGGGCGGTGGTGCTCTCAGGTCTAAGAGATATAAGAAATTAAAATTTTAATGCTTTTTTGAGGTGTTATAAAGTAACATTAGGAACAGTAAAGTTTATATGACTTTTATATATCATCATATTTCAAATTATATTTAAGTGGTGATAAAATCGGTGAGGTGTAACTTTTATACAATATTATCATAATTTTTATAAATGTATATAACACATTTTTAATTTTTACAAGAGACTTTCTTCAGGCTCAATATGATTAGATATGACGTTTTTTAATCTATATAGTTCTATAATATAACATTTTTATTTGAAAATTAACCTGGAAACAGAGCACATGTTGCATAAATGTCTTTCAATAGCATGTAAGTATATTTTAACTTCTTAAAATATTATTTAATGAAAAATTTAATTTATTTTTTTCACATTAATAAAAAATATCAGAAGGCATTTTTATAACAATTTCATATATATTTGATAAATGTTTACCTTTACACAGACTACTTGCATTGTCTTGATTATAAAGACTATAATAAACACTGTCCAGTTTAAAATAATTTTTGGCTTTAAACTAGTGTAATTTATAATCATATGGTTTTAATGAAGTGCTAATATGTTAATAAAGTTAACGTTAGTAATATTCACTTACTACTGAACCAACATCTTACGACACCGAATTCCGGTCGGATAAATTCCTTTGGCATGCTAGGAACGAAATCCATGATGGCGCAGACAATAGTGAGAATAAAGGCGTTTCCCCATGCGTAAATCGAATATATTATGAACTTTTTTCTTTCTCGTTGCTTTATGTTTCCTTGTAACGAGCGGAATTCTCTATAAAAACGCAGTTTCAATTTTACATTTAGCTAAATAGAATAACAAGTATGATATAGGTAGGATAAGTATAAGCTTTATTATAATGTATATGTAAGAGAAATTGTGATTAGATAAATACAGATTTAAAAATTTTTTGGTTTAAAAACTAACCGATAAACGTGAATATTGCAAAAATATTTTTTAATAACTTTATGTTTATTGTATTAATATTTTTTTATAAAAGAATTATAATTTAATTTTCGCTATCAGACGAACAAACATTCACGTTCGGCTCGTATAGCCCAATTATTTCGCGTTTGTATTTAATATACCTGGAGCCTTTATATTCTTATTATTATTTATTAAAAGTTTAACAAGGCTCTATAATATAAATATAAATTTAAAGTATAAGACAGGCAATAAGAGCCAAATCGCGGATGACAGTGCGTTATCCCAACGACACTAAATTTTTTCGTTAGAATTAAATACCTGTGCACAAGGCACCAAATTTTACTTGGTCACGGCCAAGATTTAAAATTGGAATAATATCTACAAGAGATTTAATTCCATACATCCCCTGTTCCCCCCTAAGGAAATAAATGCGAGAGAAAAATATAGATCCGAAAGTCGCTGAATCGGGAATCGAACCCGAGACCTTTCGCTTGCCGGGCGACTGCTCTTCCAACTGAGCTATTCAGATCTTTTTGATTCTATACTTTTCTCTGCTATATATATACAGGGTAGGCCATTTTAATCTTCGAACTAAAATTTCTCAAAATCCAAAAGTTTAAGACAAAAATATTTTTTCATTAAGTAAGACAAAGTTGGTGTAAAGAAAACACATAGTTACCTTTAAAAAAATATAAAAATTGCAATAAGCAGTTACATAATTTTTCTTTAAGATAACTATGTGTTTTCTTTACACCAATTGATTCGTCTCATTATTCTGTGCATAAAAGTATTAAGGTATGATAATCGAAAAATGAATATTTCCCAAGATATTTTGTATTTTTTGTCAAAATACTGCAAATTTGCAGCCTTAACTCGAAAAATACTTAATGAAAAAATATTTTATTGTAGTGTTTTGGAAAGATCTCGAAGTCAGCTACAAAAGTATGCAAGAAAAAATATAGTGTTCCATTTAAGAAATTAAAGTTGACCTTTACGTAACCTTCAAATGGCTATTCAAGGTCAAATCAATGACACCATCTCATGTCCCCCTTGAAACCATACAACTTTTATCTGAAACATTTTTGTCTTAAACTTTTGGATTTTGAGAAATTTTAGTCCGAAGATTAAAATAACCTACCCTGTATATATATTAGCAGAGAATTATAGCAGAGAAAAGTATAGAATCGAAATGATCTGAATAGCTCAGTTGGAAGAGCAGTCGCCCGGCAAGCGAAAGGTCTCGGGTTCGATTCCCGATTCAGCGACTTTCGGATCTATATTTTTCTCTCGCATTTATTTCCTTAGGGGGGAACAGGGGATGTATGGAATTAAATCTCTTGTAGATATTATTCCAATTTTAAATCTTGGCCGTGACCAAGTAAAATTTGGTGCCTTGTGCACAGGTATTTAATTCTAACAAAAAAATTTAGTGTCGTTGGGATAACGCACTGTCATCCGCGATTTGGCTCTTATTGCCTGTCTTATACTTTAAATTTATACTTATTATTATTCTTTTACATTAATGGAAAATATCAGAAAAGTGTACAGATTATAATTTGTATTGTGATTTAAATTAAAAACAATTTTTAAAAATGTATATAATTAAGAGATTTGTCATATTAATTAATTGTTAATATTAGGTTATAATTATATTGTAAAAATGATTTATTTCTCTTTCTTCTATATAAACAATCAATAATAATTTATTCCATTATATTTTTACACTGCTGTGTTTAATAATTGTTATATCCCTAAAAGATATAACTATTAAGAAATAACTACTCATATTACATCCGCTTGACGACGGACACTGACCGCATAAAA